TTATTATTATGATGAAATAACATAATATACATTCTTGATTTATTGCTTGGTATTTATGAATACCAAACGCAACACATGAATTGACGATGGGCAGTGCTCACTTCCCAGCTCTGTGAGGACGGGTGCGTGCCCCCCCCCCACCCCGACGAGGAGCACAAGCTCAGGGGGCCAAGGTGGCCAGGTGAGCTGCGGCCTCTTCCCTCACGGTGGTCTCCCAGGCTGGCAGCTCAGCCCTTCAGCCGTGTGGACCCAGCAGGCCAAGAGGCAAGGGCCCCCCAGCAAAGCCCAATGTCACGGGGGACCCCTCGGGGCACGAGGGACGTCAGGCCACCCGCCCCTCTCTCAACACTCCAGGGCTGGGGAGTTAACTCACCCGTTGGCCCTGCAGGGCGGTGCCCTGGTCCCCAGAGTGACCTCCCGGGCTGGATCCAGTTACATCTCAGCAGCCGCTAAGGAACAAACACAGCTTGTGTCTTCCTCCCGGAGTGTATTTCCTTTGTCTTGTGAACATTGAAAAATGAATGGAATGATAAGGATTTGGTGGGGAGGGGCGGGGCAGGCCTGAGATCTGCGGAGCTGGCTTCACTCACCAAGAGGGCGGCGTGAGGGAGTTTTCCAACCAAGCCCCAAGGAAGAGAAGCTCAGTGGCACGAGGGGTGGGGTTGCAGCCGCTGGGATTCCCGGCTCCCCCTTGGGGTGCAGGCCTGCTCCCCGCTGCCCCCAGTGGGATGCAGAAGGTTTGTGCTGTTCTCTCCACAGGCGGTGTCTGAACCTCTCTGGGCCTGCGTCTCCTCCACTGTTCAGTGGCTATAAAACAACTCGCACTTATGTATGAAAAAGAAATGAGAAATCGTGTGGACCAGAGATTGCCCACGGGGGCTGGATTAGCTCCTTGAGGGACATTTATGGAAAAGTCTGTGGTCGTCACACCTGGAAGGGGAAGGTGCTGCTGGCAGGTGTGGGGGCTGCTGCCCCAGAGCTTGCACAGAGCGTCCCCACACGGGGTTATCCTGGAGTCCATGGTGCCGCGGGAAAAACGCGTGTAGAGCGTGGGTTTTAATGCCCAGGGGCCCGTCTGGAAGTTGGGAGAAGGCACGTGTTGGGGGAAGGCTGAGCACGATGTGGGGCCCTTCCCTAAGGCTCTGTCCCTCTTCATTCACACAGCAAATCTTTACCAAGTGCTGTCTGGGGCAGACGTCGCTCTAGAAGCAGATGAAGGAGGCCTGAGCTCTGGGGTCTGGACTAGAGGGAAGGAGAGTCAGACAGACTGAGAGAGCAGGTCACCGCGTGGCTCGGTCACGCCCGAGGCGGCCAGAGCGAGGACACATGGGCCTTGTGGACACATGGGCCAGGATGGGCCAGGGGCCCAACGGGCGCTGCAGCTTGGGGGCGGAAGCCTGGAAGCTTCGCTGTGCAAGAGGTGCCAGAGGAGCCCACATCCTGCGTGCATGTTTCCAGAGACGCTTGTGGTGGCGACTGCACAGGCCTGGGCTCGGACCAGCACCACTCAACTGTGCACTTGACGTGGGAGCTCTGTGGCGTGTGGGATTAGACCCAGTTCAGCGGTTCTGTGCGAAAACAGTCGTCACAGCAGTGAAATCAGATGAGGGCTGAGGGGAGACACGCCGTCCCCGTGGTCAGGGAAGGCTCCGGAGGGGACATCTGCCGGCTGGGCAGGGAGGAGTGGGCCAGGAGCCCAAGGCCGTGGGGCCGGCCCGTATGTGCTGCTGGGCTGGGGAGGTGGCTGCAGGCCTGGTCATGCTGACAGAGCCTGGTGTCCTTAGGGCCCTGGCATCTAGGCCTCAGGCAGGCCCTGCAGAAACCGACCCTCTTGGCTGCTTCAATGCAGAGAAGTTGGTGTCCCTCGGCCATATAGCCGTGCCCTGGCCAGTCAGCCTCCTGGAGCAGGTCAAGCTGCGCCGGGAGCTAGGTGTGCATGGCGGTGCTTTCAGGGTGCTGCCTCTGAGGCCTGCCGCCCACTCAAGGGCCCCGAGGGCCATGCAACCCCTCCCGGCAGTGCCTTCTCACAGAGACTTGGGTGCAAAGACCTTGCCCAGAGCTGGCAATGGCCTTGGGTGCCAGAGAAATGTCCTGCCCTGCCTGGCCTCAACCTTCTGTAGGGGCTGGCGGGCCTTGGCTCTGCCCTCCCCTGGGGCCACCCCCAGTCTCTGTCTGTACCCAACATCCATGTGGGGGTCTTCTGAGCCACAGCTTCATCCCAGCCCAGCCACAAGATAGACAGCAGGACATACTGCCACAGGCCAGGCCAGGATGGTGACCCTAAGTGTCCCAGGGCCACTGGGGTCCCAGAGGCAGCAGTGGAAGCTGCCAGCATCGCGCAGCCCTGGGGTAGGAGGGCGTGGGATCCCTGCATTCAGCAGGTGAGGCGAGAGGCCCTCATGCACAGAGGTGGCTGCACCAATGGGACTCCAGGCCCGCTCTCCCCAGCCCCTCCTCACCTCAAGGTGGGCCGGGTGAAGCTGAGCCCTTGGGGGCTGCTGGGCGCTGGGGGCCTCGGCCAAGAGAGGCGAGTGACCCCGGGCTGGGCTCTGCTCCGCAGCCGAGGCCCTCAGGTGATGAGAAGGTGAGGACGGATGTTTGTGGATGGAATCAGTGAATGGCCAGGTTGAAAGGGACACGGGGCGACCAGGGTGCTGTCCCCGGCCTTCCTTTGTGTCGAGGGGCAGTGCCCCCGGCTTTGTCTGCATGTTGAGCTTCTCTCATGCAGCCCTCCAGGTTCTTGTTCACCAGCCCCACCTCCCTTGAAGATCCTTGCAGTGTCCTGACCCCAGAGAGTGGGGTGGCGGCTGGGGGTTCTCTCCTGACCTTCCAGGCCAGCAGCCTGGCGCCCTGGATCCTGACCAGGATGGGCCTGGGGCTGGCGCCTCCCTGGGCTCACTGCCACCTAATCTGGTTCTCTTTGGAGAAGGGAGTGGGCCCAGGCACGGCAACTGGGTCACTTCCCAGGGCCCAAGTCTCCCCAGCCTGGCATGCCTTGCCCTGCCGACGGGGGTTCGGGGAGCCAGAGTGCGGTGCCTGTCCCTCCTTGCCGCCTGGCTCGGCCCAGGGACAGAATTAGCTCTCCCCTCTTACTCTCAAGGCTCTCCAGGCGGCCAAGCCATCCTGAGAGGGACTGGGACGAGGCCTCCTGGGAATCCACCCAAGCCTTTTCCCCCGGTTACTCTGGGAAAAGATCCAGTGGCAAGAGAGGGGGTAGGGTAGGACCAGGCCCTTCCCAGCTGTCAGGAGAAGCCCCGAGGGCTCTGGGAAGCTGAGGGTCTCCCCGCAGCCAAGATAGTGGTGCAGATCCACGCGCAGCGGGCCATGGTCAGAACCCTCAGGTCTCTCCTGCATCCTGGCCTGCAGGCCAAATGCAAATTCATGGGACCTCAGAAGTTGGATTCCCCCAACAGGTGGGCCTGGAGCCAGGTGGTCAGTGCACAAATCTGCATGCCACTCATGATAGTCAGAAAAGTCGGGGCTCAGCAGACAGGACCCCCACGTGACAGGCACCTGTCAGGTCCAGGATAGCAGGGGGCCGGCTGAGCCAATGGACCCTGCCACTGTCCAGACGCACCAAAGTGGGTGATGAGTGCAGCCTGGACATTCCCGCCCGACCGCACCAGGCCGGCAAGGGGCCAGGAGGACCCCTTGAGCTGCTTTCTCCCTTGCTGCCCCCAACTTTGGAGGCACGTGTCCTCAAGGACCAAAGGGCAGTGACAGGCCTGGCCCGGGCCCCGTCACTTGCTGCAGGGAGCAGGAGGCTCGTGGGGCCGGTGGCGTGGGTTCAAACCCCAGCTCTGGACTCGCAGCCGCAGCCCGAGTCACAGGCGCCTCTGTTCCTGGGGACATCTTTTCCCTCCTGTGGCAGATCTTGATACACTCCCCCAGGGCCCAGCGCCTCGCAGCCTGCTCTGGTCAGTGACGTGAGCAGAAGGGACGATGGTTTCAGCTCAGAAACCCCTGAGGCGAGGCTGGCAGCGGCTGCTCCTCTGCCACGAGGTCACATCACCCCAGAAGAGACGGCTCTGTCTGCTGGGGTCCTGAGGAAGAGGACACGGACAGCCCCTGGGCAGCCCCTGGAGCACAGGTCCCCTGCAGAAGCCGTGCAGGTCTGGGCTTGTGTCCTGGTTGCTATGCACTGGGACTGTTGAGTCTTTAGGGGGTCCCCAGAGTCATTTTTGGGTCTCCTGCTTCTGCTGGGTACAGCAGGTCGTTAACAGCTAGAAGGTGTTGACTTGGTGGCCCTGGGTAGGTGCCCAGCTTCACTGAGTTTGTCCCGCACCTCTTCATCTCGGAATCACCAGCTGCTCCCCTCCCCGTCCTGCCACCCACCTGCAAGAGCTGCGCGGGGGAGTCTCCAGGCCCACCGAGCTCCTGCCCGCGGTGGAGACGCCCACCGAGGAGCCGTGGGGTGTCTGGGACTGTGGTTTTCCCCACTGACCACCCTGTGCCAACACCTGTGCAGCCCAGAGCCGCCCGCCTCCTCTGCTAGGTCACGTCTAACGCCTGCATCCAATGTGGCGCAGGGGGCCCTCCCAGCCCCTGAGCACACTTCCCTGTGTAGGGCCCTCAGGGTTCTGGTTGCTCAGCAACACTCACCTCTCAGCACCCGGGACACGCAGCTAGACGGTGGGTGCTCAGTGAGGACTGGCTCTGCTCCCCTAGGTGGTTGGTGGCTGGGCGGCTGGGGGCGCTGAGGCAGGGCCGAGGGCAGCTCTCTGCAGATTAGTTCATGATGGTCTCGGCAGGAGGGGGTGGGGAGCAATGAGGCCCCCCACCCATGGCTGTCGGGAGGAGGAGCCACCTCCCTCTCGGTCGCCCCGGCTGGCCTCAGTTCCTTTCCCAGCCTCTCCTCTCCTCTCGCCCGCTCCGCTCCACTCCGAGCAGCTGGGCCAGTTCTCAACAAGGGGATGGGGTTTTGTGGCTGGGATTGGTCCCCTCCCCACTACTGCCCGCCAAGAGCCAGGGGTGGTCAAGGATTTCCACAGAGGGACTCGCAAAAGCCATCTCTTTATTTTTCATTCCTGCTGTTCAACTGGTTGGCGCAAGCGGAGGATGAGTGGATTGTGGAGGGGCAGGAGGAACATCTGGGCAGACCCTCCGGAGACAGTCTCCGCACACGGCTGAGGCTGGTTAGACCGGAGAAGAAGTTTAACAATAAACTCTACAGAACGAGAAATGTACAGAAGTGTCAAGGCGGCTGCTGGCTGGCTTCTTGCCTCCCCATGGGGGTCAGAGTTAGGCCCGCTGGTCCTGTGCAAAGGTCCTGGGGCTGGCCTGGGGGCGGCCAGATCCTTCCCTGGGACGAGAGCGTCCTGCTCGCCCTGCAGAAGTGTGCCAGGGACAGGCCCGTGGCCGCGTGGCCAGGCGCAGGCCCCGCGGGCCCCGTGGCTTAGGACTGTGCGTCTGTGTCCTGCCTTATGTCCTCCCTTTGAAAGTGTTCATGCAGGTGTAGGTTCCTGAGAATCTGTGGATCTCCTCGAGTGCCGCCTGGGGGAGAATGCTGGGAGGGGGGAGAAAAGCGGGTCAGGTCAGCCACACAAGACGGTGTAGGAGAGCAGAGTCCCAGAGGCCGCCCCACCCCTCGCCCCAGCCTCAAACCAGCTCCCCTCACCACCCCCATGACCACCCATGCCCCGCCACGGGGAGGGGCTTTCAGGGTAAAGGGGACAAGATCAGAGGCCCCCCAGGGTAAAGGGTTGGTGGAAACAGCTTTTCAAAGCCACACCCTTAGCCTTTCAGAGCCCATAACAGGTCTGAGATCAATACACGCCAAACGCCACCAGTTCTGCAAGGATTCACCCTGTAGCTGGGGACAGGGGTGCTGGGGTCGCCTCCAGGGAAGCTTGCCTGGCTCCTCACAGACCCTCTGCTCCCCCAAGCCCGAGTGCTGCCCTTGCTGGTCACGTGTTGGGCCTGTGGGTGCCTCTGCAGCGATGTTTCGTCTCTGACCCTGGCCCCCAGCACAGGGCCCGGCAGAGACAGGGCCTCAGTCCACCTGTTAACTCAGAATGTTGACTCAAGGTCCAGGATGGCAAAGGCTCACTTACGCCAGGAGCAATCTGTCTGGAAGGCTTCCTGGGGGTGGTGGCACGGAAGCTGAGCTTGTAAAGATTTCTCTCGGAAGATGGTGGGGTGGGGGCCACTCGGGGCTCCAAGGTCAAAGCACCCCCCAGCACTCATAGGCCCATGAAAACGGTTCCTGGAATGGCCCCTTCAATAGGGGACAGGATGGGAAGGGTTTGCTGCCCGTAGTCTGGAGAGTACTAGGGGAACATGATGCTGGCTAATTCTGGAAGAGGATTCTCCCCTCTATAAAGCCTGCCTCCTGAGAGGATTGCCCTGGTAACTCCCACTTGACCAGCACTATGACCTTTCTCTGAGTCCCCAGCCTTTGACATCAAGACCCCAAGACCCCTGTCTCCCCCACTGGATCTATTTCCTGAAGGCTGGACCCAGAGCTTGTCTAGAATAGCGGTTCTCAAAAGGTGGCCCAGGAACCCCCTGGAGGGTACCTCAGATCGCTTCAGGAGTCTGTGAGGCCAAATTATTTTTATATCACTACTCTTATTATAATAAAAATTTGCTTTTTCACTCTCATTCTCTCATGGGTGTAGAGTCAAATTTTCCAGAGGTTACATGACATGTGATATCACATGGATTAAAATCAGAAGCAGATACAAGAGTCCAATTGTCTTTAATTAAGTCAGACAATAAAAGCTTTGCAAAAAGTGTAAAACAAAGCCATTCTTCTCACTACATTCTTTTTGCTTTTTGGAAAATGTACCAAATAATAAAATAAAGATGATAAAAATATCATCTTTATGTTAATATAGAATGGGTTTTGTTGCCTTTTATAAATATTTTAAATATAAACAAATAGGAAAATATTATAAGACTTTTCTCAGTTTTAATTTCTTGCACGGTGAATAGTGATAGAGTCCACGTAGACAAAAGCTCTTTGGGTTCCTCAGTAATTTTTAAGACTGCAAAATAGCCCCGAGGCCAGTGAATTTGAGAACCACCGTCCAAGGCAGACGTGCCCCACCTGTCATTTCCAGGTCCACCGCAGGCATGACCAATGGATCACTGTGTGCATTCTCCTGCCTGAGGCCTCTGCCCCACAGGGTCCCAGCGAGAAGGGGAAATGCCGCCATGGGCCTGACCAGAGCTTTCCCTGCCAGCCCCTACCTTTTCAAGATGATGAGGGCGTGCATGGTCCAGGGGAGCAGGAGGAGGGCCTGATTGAGCTGCACAGCCTCCACGGTCCTCCGGGCCACCGTCTCCGGCTTCAGTGGGGGGAAGAGGTTGGGAAACCTGCATGCAGTAAGAGAGAATGTGGGTTTGTCCTAGAGAAGCAAGGGCTTCTGCTGTCAGCCTCAGTGGCTAACACATCCGGGGCATTCTTTGGCTTCTTCCATTTGGGAGACTTGAGACCCAATTGAATTCTCTCCTCCCCTTGAACCCTCTTGGTCCTAAAACCCCCCTCTCCTGCCACCCTCAAAGTGCTGGAGTTCCTCATTCCTCACAGTGCCTGTGAGTGGGGGTTCCCAGCTCATAGGGGTCTCCCCCTGAGAATTAGGAGTGTCTAGCTTACCCACCCAGGACCCATTCTCCAAAGCACCCACAGGGCCCCTTTAAATGGTCAGTGTCACTGCCCTGCTCAAAGCCTCTCCACCCCTCAGGATACCAGGACCCCTAGGCTGGGCTCACCCACACATAGTTCTGCTCACTCTCGGTTCTGCTCACTCTCGGTCCTGCCTACCGCAGGCCCCTCTCTTCTCTGCTTGCACTCCAGCAGTCCAGCCAAGCTTTCTGCTCACTCACTTACATTCTGGCCTATCGGGGGGCCCACTTCCCCCAGGTCACCCTCAGGGAGGTGTCTCTGCCCTGTCCACTCAGGGGGGCCTCTGATCTTGTCCCCCAGCTAATTTCTTTGATGCCATTTGCTACATCTAGAATGGTCCAGCCTGTTTGCTTGTTTGTGAATGGCCTATCTCCCCCATCAGACCGTGAGTTTTCTGAGGACCGAGGTTTGCTGCTCTTGCTCCCCGTTGTGGCTCTAACATTTAGTAGGGCTGCATACAGTAGGTGCTCAATAAATGCCTGCTGAGTGGATGAACACTGAATTGCTTGCCATTCCCCAGATGTGTCCTGCTTGACCTGTCTGGAGGCAGACACTCTGCTGGGGTGTCCTTTCTACCTGGTTTGCTGGCTCACTCACTCATTCATTCATTCACAGAGTGCCTTCCATGCAATAGATAAATGAATGATTGGATAAGCAAACACCAGGGACTTCACAGAGCCACCTCCCCACCCCCCCTCCGTGACAATGATGTTCCCTAAGTGCCAGCCTGTGCTAGTGCAATAGGCATCTTCTGCTCCAATTTACAGATAAAGAAACTGAGGTTCAGGGGGATTGGGGGGCACAGAGAGCCAAGTCAGATCTGCATGAGCACAAGCCCCCGTCAATGCTCCGTGCCCGCCCCCCTGCTGCTTGCCCCACCCTCCTGGGCCTGTAGGTGCAGGGCTGAGGCTCTGACCTCAATCCCACAAAGGCTTGGGAGCTGCTCTGGCACTGAGGATTAAGGGTGATGAGTCACCCAGCCTCAGAGAGTCCAAGGATCTCATCCCCCACTGCAGGCTTCCTTGCTAAGTCTGCAAGCCTGGAAGGTCAGCCCCCCTCCCGGGCTCTGCAAAGTAAGCTCAGGCAGCTCACTGATGCTGGGGCCCTAGGGACTGGACATTCTTCTCCAGTCCTTCCTGGGCTGCTTCTGCTGCTTGGGGGAAGGGAACACAGACTAGATAGACCAAGCTCAGCAGGCTTGGGGGTCCCTCTGGGTAAGACCCCTAAAAGAGGACCTGACAGGACCCTCCTGCTTGTCTGCGGGAGGGACTTTCTCCTTAACCTCTGCAGTGGGTGTGATGGGTATCCGGGAACCCGCAGACCTATTAACTCCCACGGAGGCAGCACAAACTTGGGGAAACAGCATGCTCAGCCAGTGTCTAGCTGTGTGGCCTTAGGCAAGTAACTCCTCTTCTCTGAGCCTCAGCTTCCTGGTCTGTGAAACGGGGACACTAGTGTCCTCCCAGGGTTGCTGAAGGTCAAAGGCGGCAGCATTTATAAAGCGTCTGGTTTGGCTGCAACACCGAAGATCAGTAAATAGCGATTTACAAACAGCACCCACTTCTGTGGCCACATCAGTTTTGCCTTGTCCTAACCATTGCCTTCCCACCCTCGGCCGTGGGGAGCTGCGCAGCAGGGGTGGTGAGGAAACCAATGCGTTTCTTCTTTCAGGAAACGGGAGTTGGCAAAACAGCCATCTCCTACTACTCTTCCTCCCAAGCCCCGAGGGATCACCGCACAGCCAAGGGCACTAGCACCCACCTTTGCCACCGCCTGCCAGGGAGGCTGGCCAATCTCCCAGGAGCTCATCTGGCCCTGACGGAGGGGTATTGGCATTAATCCCTCCTTATAAATCAGGAAACTGAGGCACAGAAACAGCGAATAACTTGCCCGAGGTCACACAGAGCTGGGATCTGACCCCAGGCAGTTTGGGTGCTCACTCTGAACCACTGTGGATAAGGCAACTTGGTCGAACCTTGAAATTCCTCCTCAGAGGGGTGGGAGGGAGCTAAGCCGGGGCTGAAATAGGCCTAGGATGTCTGCGATGCCCCACCCATCTGTGATCTGGGGCCCCACTGAGAACCCTGGATTGCCTCTGCTGCTCTTGCATGCAATTTTTCCTGCAGCGTGCATTTATTGAGCACCTTATGTATGCACAGATGAAAAACCAAACCAGGACACCCATGGGCAAAAAAGCCAACATGGAACATTGTCATTAATCCAGCCTCTTCTACATCAGAATCAGTGATCATTTGCATGCAAGTCCGGTGGAAATAAGTACTTTTTTGATAAACTAAAGACATGCTGGTAGGAGGGTTATTAACATGCATTTATGAAGTCGCTGGTTGTTAGTAAAAATAGGAGGAGAAGTTGGTGACTGAGCATCTTGTGTGACTGGGCTTTGCATGGGTGCTTGAGGTGCGTTATTTCCAATTATCCCGATAATCCTCCAAGGTAAATGTTATGTTCACACTTTCACAGATGAGCAAAGTAAAGCTCAGAGAGGTAAGAAAATCTAGCTCAAGATCCCACAGTCACACAGCAGCTGAGGCATGATCCCAAAGCAGGGATTTTGATTCTCGATCACTGGGACCATGCTTGTCCCTCCTTGTAACAGCGAAGGCATCCTGAGGTCCCCACAGGCACCCATATGGAAATGCCTCCCACCCATGGTCACACTGAGTTCTCAGGGTGACCCTGCCTGGTCTTTATTTTTGGGAGAAGGCAAATCTTATATGATAGAATCCATGGCAAAAACCAAGGAAATGATTTCTGGGTAATTCCCCATTTTCATTGATCTGTCACTGTAGATCCCATCCTAGTCACATGTCATCAGAGGGCCACGAACGGTGTTCTGAGCCGGGCCCCACTCTGTCCAGGCCACAGAACCCCAGCAGTAGACATCCTGTCACCCTCTCATGCCATGTTATAAATCAGCATCAGAGGCCAGAGCAGGAATGAATTGGACCCCAGGTCACAGGTCAGCCCTCGGTGCAGTGAGTCTGCACCCCAGGGCCTGGCTCCAGAGCTTGGGCTCTGATCTGGGGTCCCTTCCCTATGGATCTAATTGGCCTGGAGGAGGTGGAGCTGCTTCTTTAAGTCAAGTTAGATTTGCATACAATAAAAGGCATGAGTCTGAAGGGTAAAGAGGGATTATTTTTTACCCATGTAACCATCACCTAGATTAACAAGACAGACCAGTTCTAAAAGCCTAGAAAGTTCCCGATGGTGCCTCCCAGGCTACATCCCTGCCCCCCTAGGTGTGGCCACGGCTCTGATTTTAATGACGAGAGCCCAGATAGCCTGTTCCAGAATTACTCAGAATGTTCTCTTTGCTGACCATATGCTTTTGCAGTTCATCCATAGTGTTCCTATACCGACACTCTGTTCTCTTTTTCCAGCTGGGTAGTATTCTGCTTAGCACCGGCGCCTTGTAAAAGGTCCCTGACCTGAGAAGCAGGATCCTTAAGCACTACAGCGTCCCGCCGCCTTGCAGGTGGAGAATGACAGCCGAAGAGAAAGAGCTTCTGGCTTTAACATGTCAGCGGCCTCTCCCCTGTGCAGGCGCTGGTGGGACTGGCAGGGGGAGGCGGCCCCTGCTCACTGACCTGACCCTCATGCCCTGGAACATCTCGGTGCTGGTGTGGAAGGGCAGGACGGTGGTGGCACTGACGCCTGGACAGTCCAGCAGCCCCAGGGTCAGGCTCTCCATGAAGGCGAAGGCCGAGGCCTTGGACGTGCAGTAGTCGATGGCGCCCGGGATGGCAGACAGCGCCAGCACGGAGTTGAGACACACGATGTGGCCGTTCTGCAGCTCCAGCATGCGTGGCAGGAAGGCCTTGGTGGTCTGCGGGTGGGTGAGGAGTCAGGCAGAGCAGCCGCAGCCCCCAGAACCCCAGTGCCCCGCAGTTGGGGAGCACAGACCCCGGTCCTGACACACGCGCCCGCCAGACACTGGGCCATTCTGGGAGGGGGAGGGGCTCCACACTTCAGAGCGTCCAGGTGCCTCCTGGGGCTGGTCAGTCCTCTTGCCCAGCCCCTGGTCTGCCCCCCGAGCTGTGCTGAAGCCCTCTCCCTTCTCCTACGGCCCCGGGACGGGCTTACCCAGAACTGGCCGAGGGTGTTGATGTGCTGGGACTTGAGGAGGGCGTCGTCGTCACTGTCCATCAGGCTCTTCCCGTGGACCACGGCGGCGTTGTTCACCAGGATGGTGATGTCGCCCACCTAGGGGGAGAAGGAGCCAGGGCCATGAGGGCAGCCGGCCCAGTGGCCTGCAGGTGTGGGGGCCCCTATCCCCACCCCCCCCATGGGGCCCTGGGCAGCCACAGTGCTCCGGGCCTCAGTCTTGATTCGTAAGATGATTCTGCGGATGAGGAATAATTGATGGCCACGCTCCACCTGGCACAGAGCACCTTTATGATGAATGAGGGATGGTACATAAAAATAGCTAATGCTCCCATGTGCTGGACACTTGACAGGGTCTTGGCATTCGCTGGGGCCCTCAGTCTCAATAGATGGGCACGGTCAGGAGGTTTGTCCCCCAGGGCAGAGGGACTTTTGTCCCCCAAACCCCATTATTCCAGGACAGAAACTCATAAGGTCTATACTTCCAAGGGACAACAGGGATTATTCCTGTTACATAATCAACCCACACCCTGAATCCCTGCCCCCTGCAACACACACACACACACACACACACACACACACACACACACACGCAGGCATGCTCTGGGGCCAGCGTGACTGGACAACCTCCAAGGAGCCCAGGAAAACAGCCATTCTGCTGGCTCCTGGGCCGCCGAGAGGGTTCTCTCTGACTGGCACACCCAGGTTACAACTGCTCACCTTCTCCCGGACAGCCTTGGCAGTCTGGTACACCTCCTCCCGGTTGCCCACGTCACAGATGAAGTAGTGACACTCGGTGCCCATTTGCCGAATCTCCTCTGTCGTCTCCTTCAGGCATTTCTCAGTCCGGCCCCAGAGAACAATCTGGAAAGAGAATAACAGCATTTAGTAGATGATGATTAAGCAAGCCATCGTGATTCCCTGACTTTTTAACGTAGCTGGCATGAGGCTGGCCTCGCTGATTCCATCCACAGACTGAACATGCGAAGCAAATTAACTATATGCCTTTAAAGGGACGGCGCCTGCTCTGTAGTGAACCAGGGGTGACCGAGCCATTAATGATCAATTGACATGTTATTTACAAATCTTGTTAATTCCTTCCAGTAGCTCCGTTCAGTTAACTTGCAAAGTTACAAGCAGCAGCCAAGTCCGTTCTGTACGATGGTCCAGACTGCTCTGAGCTATTTGTCTTCTCACTGATTAGCTCTAGAGCCAGGTGTATTAATATCAGCCTCAGAATGAGGGGAGGCCCCAGGAGATCATGATGACCTGCTGTGGTCCCAGCTGGCTGGCCTGGAAGAGAGGCAGCCAGGCTCTCACCAAGAAGGAAAGGCAGCCTCTCCCCACAGGGTAAGAAACACAGGACTCAGGGCCCTCCCCGGTGGCGCAGGGCTTGAAGTCTCAGCGCAATCAAGCTATCACCAGCCACTGCAGCATGAGTTCGATCCCCGGCCAGGGAAGTGACCCACATGGCGCAGCAGACCTCTCCTGTCTCCCTGCTGCTCCCCTCAGCAGTGTATTTCAGTCAGGCTGCCTGTTCTGCTCCCCACTCTGCCTCTGGTGAATCCTCTCACCCCCACACCTTTGGCTACACCCCAGCTCTTGTATGAATATATAAATAAATCTTTAAAAAAAAAAAAAAAGAAACACAGGATTCAGGAGGTGATCCTGGCGAGAGCAAGAAGTGGATTCCTCAAGTGACTGGACAGATGTATGAAGGGCAGGTCAATGCGAGGCTCAGGAGAGCCTGGCACTTCTCAACCTTGACCTGAAAGAGACCCATACACCTCCCAGGTCATGCCCTTGGGTCCCGAGAAGCTCCTGTAGGTGGAAGAACCAGGGTTCAGTGATGAGGAGTGTGTGTGGGGGAAGCCTAACAAAGACTCGGCTATATCAGCCCCGAGAGAGGTGGGGGGCAGGAGAGAACCAGAGGCAGGAAGAGGCAAAAGCCTCCTTGCTGGGGATTAGCCTCCTGGACTTCTATTTTTGTTTCTTCTCTTTTAAAAAATATTATCAATGAAACTCCTCCTTCAAATACAAAACCCAACATGGAAACCCCGATGGTGAAATCAGTAACAACGCAAATCCCATGCCCCGCTCCAGATCTCCTAACTCTGAAGGCAGCTGAGGAGATAAGCGGGGCTGTCGGGAAGGCAGACACAGGAGGGGAGTCCCAGAGGTCACCCCAGACACAAACCAGAGTCCTGTCCCCTTGGCCGCTGGCTTTGGGGGGCAGAGCAGGGGCATGCGAACGCACGGCGGCTGATGGTAGCAGTTTATCAAGCGGCACCCTGAAATCTCAGATTGCCCTGAAGTCTCAGAACTTGCTCTTAAGCAGAAAGGGCCCTCGTGGGCTTGGCGGGCGGGATGCACACGTGCGCTGGTGCTCTCCAGCGGGTCTGGATTCTCAGCGCTTTTAAAACTTCTGAAATATTTTTGAAAAGAAAACAGAAGTGTTCTCTCACCACCCAGAAACATCGCTAGGAAAACGCCACTGGGCCGACCCCTATTTTAATCGGAGTCCTGAAACAGGGGGAGCCTCGCCGGGAGGGGTCAGCCGGGGCTCCCGGGACCGCGAGGCCATCGCGGATCAACAGATGGCACCAGGCAGGCTCCCAGGGACACTCTTGTCTGGGGAACTACAGACGGACTTAGAATGTGTTTCTCCAGCAGAAGCTGGAGCGATTGGCTTCATGGAGAAGAAAGACACCAACATCTGTTTCAATTTGGTGGAGGCATCCGCTGCGCCACCAGGGCGCAGCTCTGCCTTGAAGCCATTGTCACCCAGGTTTCTTTTCATCCTCCTTTGTCACGCCATCTGTCTGTCCACCCGTCCTTCCTCCTGCTCACCCATCCTCTCCTTCTTCCCTTCCTCTCACTTTTCCTTCCATCCACCCAACCCTCCAGCCCTTCCTGCTTTTAATCCTTCCTTTCTTCTGTCATCCATCCACCCACCCCCCACCCCCCCACCCATCCATCCACCCACCCATCCATCCATCCACCCCCATCCACCCCCCCACCCCCCCCACCCATGCATCCATCCAATTTCGGATTATGTCAGCTTGAGGGGAAGGGAATCTTGGTTCTCTTTCTTGTGCCCTGTTCGCTGGCCAACCTTATCCCACCTCGGACTTCTATGGGGAACAGGACTCTGGGTTTGCACAGTTCCCTTGTGGCTGGTGACGCAGAGCGATGCCTCTGAGAAAATCAGGGCAAATCAGCAGAGAAGGGAAGCGTGGAGCTAGGGCTTGCTGGGAGGTGCAGGGGTCCGGAGGCCTGGGAGCACTAGTGCGTCTTCGCGCATCTGCAGCAGCAGCCCGGATGGGGGACGCTTCGTTCTCGACCCAGGATTCATTCTCAGGCAAGTGTGCTCAGGGTTCCATCAGAAGCTCCAGCAGAGGCCTAGGGGATCCTGGTCCCAGTTGCTATGGATGATACCCCCTGGGACTCAGGTAGGGCAAGGAGGGCAGGTGTCTACAGAAACCCCCTTAGCCCCATTAGCAGCAGGGAGCCCGGGAGGCCGCCAAGCGTCTGGAAGGCCGCCCTGGCAGAGGGGAGAGGCCAGGCGAGGGAGGGGAAATGAAGGCTGAGCCCCTCATCTTCCATGTGGCTATTTCCTTTCGGGGCCCCGACCAGGACGCCCCTGGAGGCTGGGGTCTGCTGTCTCCACGCCCTGTGTTTGGCGCCCCCACTCTCCCTACACGCTGTGACCGGTTGGCCCTTGGCCTCCTCTCCCCAAACTCCGAGGCCTCCACTTTGCCTGTTTGTTTTGTGCCCAGTTCCCGGCTGGGCAGGTGGGCTGGGGTGGCAGGGGGTCAGCGGCCTCTCAGGCTGAACCAGCCCACCTTCCTTTAGGGCCATTTCAGGTCCTGGATCCTTCCACAGAGTCCATTTTAACCAAAGTCAGAGAGGCGCAGGGTTTCCCCAAGAGCCTCAGAAAGCCCCAAATGAAAATGAGGCTCAGCTGACGTGGGCTTGCCTTGCTGTGTGTGTGCCTGTGTGCACGGGGGAGTGTGCATGTGTGTGAGTGTGTCCACAGCCGTCCCCCCGCCAGGTACCCCCTGAGACCCTTGGTGGGTGCTCAGAGCCCCGGGGGAGCCAGGCTCGTTCTGTCTTGGGGCTCAGGAGCGCCCCCTGGGGCTGGGGGTCAGGTGCAGTTTCAAGGGGGCTGGCGGGCACGGGAGACAGCCCGGAGGGGGAGGGTGTGTGGCTCCAGCCACCGTCCCTTTCTGGCTTCTCCCCTCCGTCTCCTGCCAGACGCCGCCGGGACCCAGAGCCACTGACCAGGAAGCTGGCCACACAGGGCTCCCGTCCAGGGCCATGGGCGGTGACTCCGCACAGATGAGGAGTCCCCCCCAGTGTCAGGGGGGTGAGGACTGGGCAGGGGTCCGAGAGAAGCGTGGGGGGTGCAGATTTATGAGCACTGTGAGCCTGATAGGGCCTCCTCATGGGGCCCCGGACAGGAGCTGCTGGGAGGGTCAGCGGCCCGGATTTACTCTTGAGCCGGTTTGTGAAGTGAAGGCTCAGGGTGTCTTGGCACCTCCCGGCCTGCCCTCCCCTTCGGGGCCAACAGCTTCTGTTTTCCTTCCCACCTCGGGCTGGAGCGGAGGAGGGGAGGGGTGAGGGGCCATGCCGGCTGTGGGCCGCCCTGCCCAGCCCAGACCTCCTACAGAGGCAGGGTTCCTGCCATCTCACCCTCAGAGCTGCCCGCATTGCAGCTCCGGCGAGTCTGCACCCCCGAGCGGCGCCCAAAGCTGACGGCTATTGTCCACTTTCTATAGCGGAGGAGACGGTGGCTCCAAGGAGGCGAGTCACTGGCCCCAAGTCACCCTCGGTGGGTGGCGGACGCAGGACTCGAACCCAGGGCCGCTGTCCTCAGCAGAGGCACCCGTGCCCCCGGGCACAGTGGGCTATTCTGAGTTTGGAGAATCCTGCTCCTGAATCCCATGTGTCCTCACACCAGCGTCACTCCCCCCACCCCCCGCCCCCCGCAGGCCCTGGTCCTGCCTCATCTCGCGCAATGTCCACAACAAGCCATCCATCTGCTCCTCAGGACCACACAGAGGGCCGCTGTGGGCCGGGCGCTGTGCCCGGCACTGGAGACCAACAGAGAACAAAACAGACACGGTCCTTGCCGCAGGGTGTCCACGTCCAGGGCGGGAGACGGCGAGGAGCGAAGGAACGAGAAAACTGTCGCGCAGAAATCACGGAGAGCAGGGTAAAGAACCAACGCGAGAACCTCCTCAAATTGGGGGGTGTTTATGAGGTAGCTATACGATGCCCGTGGCATAAGTAAGGAAACTGGCTCAGAGAGGGCAAGCCACTTTTCTGAGGTCACACAGCACAGAGCTGAGTCTGACATGAGGCTTTTCACAACTATTCACTCGCCTGGTAACAGAAAAGGCATGTCCATGGGTGTGTGGGGAGGCAGCAAGAAGCTGGTACTTGCCAGGTATACGGTACATGGCACCATTATTACCTCCCCTGGGGAGGAAGAGTTGAGAAAATCACAGCACATCCCTTGACCACCCCCTGCCCCCGCCACTCCCTGCCCCCGTGGCCGTGAGAACCTGTGTTCATGATGGCAAAAAGCTCAGGGTCGACTGTTCGGAAGAAGGAGGGGCAGCTCTATCCAGATAGGATCAGCTCAACCCTAAAAACAGGCTGAGATGGAGCCAGCAGACTTCACAGGAACACGGGCTGTGTCAGGCATGATCATGGCTGCTGTTTTGCTGCATTATGCTTGTCTGTATAGAGAAAATGTCTCCAAAAGACAAAACTGTTATTTATGATATTGAGGAAGGTGGAATAAATGGTTCACACAGGTAGCTCACCCCCCCCCCGCCGTTCCCCAATACTCAACA